CTGCTTGCCTAGGGCTTTATTTTCTGAGTCGTAGATGTAATCCATCAAGGAGCCTCCATCGAGGTCTTCCTTGTGGGTGAAGAGGACAATTGTGTGTTTCATGGCATCCTCTCCAAAGATCTCCTTGACCCTCTGTGCGGCCTGCTGGTCCTGGGTGGTGAATCGGCCTAGCTGCGTCACCAGGAGTAGCACATGGGGTCCTGGGGCCGACAGCAGGTAGCACCTCTGCACCTCTGTGTACAGATCAGAGTGGCCCTTCTCAGAAAATATATCTGGTGTGTCAATGATGACCATCTCTCTCTCACCCCAGCTTCCTCGACTTTCACTGCAGGTCTTAGTGAAGGCCTGGGCGCACAGCTGGGACACAAAGGCTTGCTTCCCCAGGATGCTGTTCCCTGTGGCACTTTTACCTGTTCCTGTTTTGCCCACCAGGATGACTCTCAGCTCTGATCCTCTGCTGGGTTGGTTCTTTATATAGGGTCCTGTTGAGAGCAAGTTTACTGTGTTATTATTATACTGATCATGCCAATAGAATATTTTTAATGATCAGGTGTTAGTCTCACATTATGGGAAAAGATACTCTCACAATATATTGCATTTGTGAAATAGAAGCTAACTCCTTATCAAATAAAATAAATTAATCATGGGGATTTTTGTTTTCATTTTTATAAATTTAATTTATTTTTTTTCCCATTGCCATTTATCCCCTCTATGGGTTTCTCTAGGACTATAGCATATTGCCATGTTGGATCCTAAACAAATATATTTGAGGAGGGAGATACAAGATGGATTTAGAAACACAATTCATCAAGCAAAGCTTTCCTGCATCGCTCTGTTCTGGTCCCTCTGAAAGACTAACTTTCTGAGAATCAGAGAAGTGGTGCCAAACTGTGGGTTCCACCTTTAGGTGGGTTAAGTACCCTGACTTAGTTCCAAAGCCAGAGAGAGCTCCTCTGCTCTCCACTGGGCAGAGGTGTGGTCATGACCACCATTGAAATGGCTGGACCAGGGAAATATGGGGATGAGCAGTGTAAAACAATTCTCTAATGCAGGAGTGGGGAACCTTTTCTCGGCCCAGGGCCATTTGGATATTTATAGCATAATTATCAGGCCATACAAAATTATCAACTTAGATTAGCCTGCTACATTTGGTCAAACATTTTTTAACTGACCCCTAATGCCTTGGCAGGGCCAGACCAAATGATTTCGAGGGCCTTATATGGCCCACCCCTGCTCTAATGAATAAACAGCTCATAGCTTATATTCTGCTCAGAGAGGACAGCATGATATTTACAGAAAGTAGGCACAGACTATGGCAGAACAGGCACACACACCGGAAGTCTCTTACCCGAGTAGCCGCATTGATTTTGGTCCATTGCGGCTCCTGAGGGACAGAGAGACAGGAGACCAATAAAACAGCAACAACAACCTATTACTTTTAGTTCTGAATCATGAAT